CACTAGTTCTAATTTATCAAGTGCTTCCTGAAGTTAGAATGGCCTTTTCCTTATTCCTATTTTGAAAATTAGTAAAAACAGTCTGGAAAATGGAAGCATGGCAACTGAACTTATTTTTTATTGGTCTGAGACTTTTTCACTACTCATCCAAGCAGCTTTCTTAGTCTGAACAAGTTGGTTCAGCAGAGAGTCGTGAGTTAAGAAACTGCTTGGATGAGTAGCAAAACATCTCAAACCAACAAAAAATAAGTCCATTATTCAATTTTCCAGACAATTTTACATGGATGACTCAGAATCTTCATTGACATACAGGAAGAAAAACTAGTGTTTCTCAAAGGAACATTCAAAGGACAATAAGACTGGTAGTAAATATGAACCTGCCACATTTGTTTGTGATAAAATCATTTTCATTTGGGAATTTATTTTCTTGTAAGCTACTTAAGAGTCATTTGATAAGGTAACATGCAAATATGATAAATAAGGAAATTAAAATTATAGGAATATGCGAAGAATCTTGTTGAGGTAATTCCCGTTAGGAGAATGAGCACACAGAGGGAGACGTATTGAGAGTAGTGTTTGAATAATACACACACAGAACACAGATACACTGTACAGTAAATGTAGGTTTTCTACTTTCAATAAAGTTTTAAACCAAGTTCAAAATAAGCAGTCCAAAGTCATTCACAGGTAAGATCAGTCAGTTTTCAGTCCAGGGATAATCCAATAACAAAGTCCAGTGTCAAAAACAGTTCAGTATCAGACTTGCATCAAATCCAAGAATATCAGTCAATTAGGAGGAACGGCAATAATCTCCAACAGAAGGAAAACAGAGACTCACTGAGACTTCTTCTGAGATGAAGACTAAGACAACCCAGGTTTCTGGCTCTATCTTATGGCCGTTTGAGAAACCACACCCAATTACACTTTTAGGATTCTCTTAAAGAGGCAGTATTAAAATGTCTATCCTGGTTTATATATTTCTAACCCAAATAGCTGTTAGGTGACTTACATTCCTAACAAATCTGATGGATAGTTGCTTACATTCCTTGCTTGCCTGGGAGGGAATATGTGATTGGGTTTGGGTGATGGTTAATTCTTCTGAGGGAGAAAGTGCTTTCTGTCAGATTTACAGAAGTGGTGATCTGACTTCTACTCCAGAAATTATCAGCTTTCATCCAGTTTCCAAGCTACTCTGTTTAAGGAAGACTGTGGAGAAAGTAATTGCATTATGACTTCAACAGGCTCAGAATGAAATAATGAGGAGAGAGATCCAGTCTACCTCTCTTACTTTGTGGAGTGCTACAGAGTTCAATCTTTCTCCCCTCCTGTTTAATATCTATCTGAGGCTGCTAGATGAAGTCATTTGACAGTTTGGTTTGACTATCACCAATATGATAATGATACCTAGCTTTATATCACCACAGGCCATAGATGTCCTGTCCCAGTGCATAGAGCAGGGATGTCAAGGCCTGTGAGCTGGATCCAGCCCATTGGGTGCTTAGATCTGGCCCGTGGGGCCAGCCTGGAAATAGCAAAGATCCCGCTCGTGGTGCCTCCCCGTGCCCCATTTTAGGCAGCAAAGTGCCTAAGGAGACTGTTCAAGCCAAAAATCATCAGCTTTCATCCAGTTTCCAAGATACACTGTTTAAGGAAGACTGTGGAGAAAGTAATTGCATTATGACTTCAACAGGCTTCAACAGTGTGGGGGATGAGCACAGCCCCCCAGCACCCTATTGTGCAGGAGGTGTTTGTTCCATCTCTCCCCCCTCCTCCCCCAGCCCGCAGAGAAGATCTACAGCGCTGATCCGGCCCTCGAAGAATTAGTTTGACACCCCTGGTATAGACGCTTTGGGGATCTGGATGGGAACCTACAGGTATTAGCCCAAGACAAAAGAGACTGAAAGGCTTTCGCTGTTTGGATCTTCTGGTATCTGGAACTTTCCATTATTGGTCTTGGATAGGATAGCACTGCCTCCGACAGGCCTGTTTTGTAGTCTGGGAATTCTCTTGGCTCATGCATCCTGCTCATAGGGATGGCTACGAGGTCATCTGTGTACACCTTCAGGTTGTGTGCCATCTGCATACATTCCTGGACTGGAAGACCCTGATCACTGTCACTCATGCCCTCGTGACCTCTGCAGTTTGTTTTACATATGGTTGTTCTTGAAAAGCAGTCAGAAACTTCAACTTCACTTCAGAATAGGGCAGTATGGGTAGTAAGTAGAACCCGTTTCGCTGCACACATAACACTACTACTCCACTGACTTGCACTAGTTGCCAGTGTGCTTCTGGGTGCATCTCAGAGTGCTGGTTTATGTTTTAGGGCTGGATTACTTAAAGGACCATCTCTCCACAGTTATTTCTTCTTGGTTGTGTTAGTGATTTCTTAGCTGCCTGTATTTTTAATTTTTACAATATTTATTTTTTATTAACCTATTTTAATTCTGGATATTCAGTCACTCACTGATATGGACAGCCATATAAATTGTATAAATAAATCTGAAGATGAACAAGAAAAAGCAGTACCACCTTAAGATTGTCACTCTCTTAATATAAGCAGGTACTTTAAGAAAAGTCATCATAATTAGCTTTTCTAAGAAAGATATAGCCACTAAAAACAAGATTGTATCAATAATATGTTTACTTTTGTTCAATTGTAACATTTTATTTTCCCTTTCTTTGTTACTGATGCATTTTCTCCACAGCTCAGGGTCATTTATAAATATGGTCTCACAGTCAAACATACTTTGTTCTGTTTATGTTATGCTAACTTGATAGCCACCAAGACAAGTATTTAGAGAAGAGAAAAAAAAACATCATGTTTTGGGTAAAGCAAGGATCATAGGACTTAAGCAAATTAAATATCTCTTACTATATATTCAGAAGAATAGTAGAATGAGTAAGGACAAATTAACAAAAACATTGTTTTCCACTGAAGGAGAAAACAGAATCGCTTCAAGAACATTCATCAGCTGATGAATGGCATCTCTTTTTGGAACAAATAGGTAGGACACAAATTCTCAACTTAACTTCCCAGAGGACAGATGTCAAAGACATCATCTAAAAAAACTCATATTTAATTCAGAAAACAAAGAGAAAAAATTAGTAAAGAAAAAGACAATCCTCATATGCTTAGGAGGAGCTGTCAATCTCTTGATGAGGGCCACAGGTCCCATCCTGCTGTTGTTCAGTTTAGTTTTCTTTTATGATATTGAAATAAAATCTCCCATTATATTCAGGAAACAGATACTTGCATAAAGACAATTTATGTTTTCTCCTGAGCCTCGTGGAGAGCATTTGTAGTTTAAAATTAACAGAACAAGAAATCTAAGATTACCCTGTTGAAATCCAATGGCAAAAGCAGGATTTAGCAGGGAGCCAGTATTTGATAAGATACCTTCAAACCAAGAAACATTGCTGGCTAATGCAAGAAGGAATAATTACTGCACTAATAAAGTAGACATAAGCGTTAAAATCTAGAAGATCCTCAAACTTGACTTTTAGTTTTTAAGTTCTACTGGGAAAAAAAGAGTAGAATGAGGAAACAAATGTCTGTTGTCTGGATTAACTTCCCAGTTTCATTGGCCAACCAATTCAGTTAGTCTCCAGTAAGTAGCCCAGATTTTAACTCAATGTAAAAAATGTAAAATATGTAAAAAATGTACTGATGAACTGTCAAGAGGACTGAAAAAAATATAATTTCTTCATAGTTTTCTAAATAAGCTTACCACATTAGAGTTACCTTGTTAGGTAACTCTTGAGTAGTAGCAATAGCAAAGCAAAAAATAATACCTGAAAGACTGATTTAATGGATTCATTATGTAGATGAGCCATCCCAATAGCATTAAGTGTTAGCATAGAACCATCTACAGAGGGTTTCTTGAACAGATGTAAAATTCCAGATGGAAATTTATATTTGATAAGGAGGGATTTGAAGTTGGAACCGTGCAGATATATAAGTCTAATTATTTATACAGTAGGCTAATTCAATAAAGCTTGTTTGCTAACTTATATTAGAAATTAATTGTCTCTAGTTTTGTTCTCGTCACTGTTATGGCTCCTTTAAGGTAAAAGAAGGAAAAGCACACTGGGAGGTCTAAATAATTCTGGCAAGACAACTAATATAGCAATCTGCCAAAAGCAGCATTTCTGCTAGATTAGCCTCCTCCTCCTAATTGCCAAATTCTTACATGCTTCTGGCAGCAATACAGAGAAGGTCTCTGGTGGAAAAGAAAAGGTGTCATTTGTTGCTGTAGTTAAAGCACTCGTCCTCCTAGGAAACATGACCTCATTAATTCTGGGATCACTTGTAGAAGCTCTTACCTTATTCAATATTTAAACAGAACATGTTTAACATAACATATTTAAGTCCTCCTCCATTGTTGTGAGAATCTGAAAGTACCAGGTAACAAGGCTGTTGTGACCCCGTGGGCCACAACTAAGTTTTCTCACAGAGCAAATAGATTTTATCCAAGATACTGGACTTGAAGTGAAGGTACCATTTATTCAACTCTTACATTATTATATGGATAAAAAGGAATTGGAAAGGTTCAAACACTTGGAAAATCAATCATGGGAATTATGGGAAAAATAACCAAAAATATTTGGAGAGCACCTTGTTGAATAAAATTGTCTTACTACAGTAATTTATGCTTACTACTTTATGTCATACTGTAGTTTGTGACATTTCAAACTGTTACAAATCTGTGGGGTGTGTCACTTCAATTTTGATAATTAAATCAAAGATGTGGCCCGCTAGCTATTTATGGGAACCAAAGCAACCTTCACTTCCGATGACACTATAGACTTTATATACCTATTTTAATAACTAAGGGTCTAAGCAGAAATAGCTGCAGAATGTATCCAATAGTTCTCCATGAAACACATAAAGCTATCAAAAACTATCAGCCACAATTATATGGTAAGAAAAAGGGAAGAACAAGACAGTTGAAAATATACATTTTTATATTAGATTTTAATAAACAATGGAAAAGACTTACCGAGTCCAGAAAGCAGAGATACTCCCCTGAACTCTGATCAATAGCATAATTTTTAGCAAAGCCAACTGTTGATAAAATAAAGTCAAAGCAGTATATGAAAATCAATGCAATTTATATTTTATACTTGAAATTATGTAATATTAAACTTAAAAGCCCAAATACCTATACAAATTAGCATTCTTTCCAAAACAGATCTGAAGAATGAAGATCACATTGTTTTCTTTCCCTTTCTATGTTTTTAAAGTAAAGATCCATTTGAAGTAAAGATCCAAACTTCAGACACAAGAGGTAAAAAAATATTTAATATTTCATTTCCAAACAATGGGCAAATCCAACTATTTCAAAGCAGTTTACTGTATATAATTGATGTAATAGACATACTTTGCATCAATGCACCCTTGTGTAAGTATGTAATTGGTATTTTATACTAATTCCGTGAATTTATGTATGCAAATAATGTTAATTGAACAAATTCAGATTGAATGGGCACCCATGCCATTCAAATTTCATTTCATCAAGGTTTTACCTTGCTCAGTGCCATGGAAAACCATCAATTCACAATTTATTTATGTAGGGTGCTGTATTATTATCCAAAGATTTTGCCAGTCAGAAGGTCAGAATAACAGAGTTGGAAGGGATCTTGAAAGTCTTGTAATCCAAGTCACTGCTCAAGCAGAAGACTATAATTTTTTTTAAAAATAGGAATTTTTTTTTATGTTTTAACTCATACTTTGCTCAACTAACTCATATTATTGGATAGTAAAAATGCACAGGACCAATGAAAAATAATTATTCAATTACTACAACTTAATCAACTAAAAGAATTATAATGCAAAAATGAATGTTTTTTTTTAAAAAAAATGAAAATAAACATTGAAATGAAAATAAACAAATAAGACAGAGAGTGTTGATGTGTTTGAGCCAAAGGGAAAAAAAACCTGTTCATGTGAAATAATTATTAGGTGATTTAAGAATTATTTGGGGCAAAGGAGGAATAACCTGTTGAAGTGCAGATTATTATAGAATAATATATTAAATTGTAGAAACAGATATTTAATGAACTAAAACAGCTTAGCCATCAGCTGTTTACAACAACCTTTTATGATATCAAGGCAACTATGATTCCAGATATTTCATTCTGTACAAAAACTTTAAAAGGGGACTATGAATCTTGCCTTTGGCATGAGCAAGGAATGCATTGTGATACTGCTCTACTGAGGAGAGTCAAATGTCTGTGCCAGGCCTTGGCGATTTTGTAAGGCCTGCTCCATTACTGAAAAGAACACGTTGCCATGGCCACAGGAGTAAAAACCTAAGACCCCATGAGATATTAACATTCCTCACTCTTGGAAAGAAGTAGTTTTGTGGTAGTTTCTTTAAAAGCACTGACCCTCTCTTTTGTGGGGAGTTTTCCCTTTTGTTTTTCTTGTTCCTTTTCCGTGACAGAAAAGAACCAGAAATGAATCTTAATCCAGTGTAAACACGGGATGTGAAGACTGTCACATTGTTTCATCCCTGGGGGCTGGAGAGGGCCTTTTTTCAAAGGAAATACCCTCTACACATGCTAACTACTCATAACTACAACAAAGTAAATCACTAAAGATATAGGGATCAACAACATATCCAGCTAAACAGGTTCTTCAAATGTACATATTCTGCATTAAAAAGGATTTATACCCAGCAATTCCTTTTCTTATACACCTTTCCTCAACATACATAGCAAAAGCTGAGAAAATACAGAGTAATGTAAATAGAAAAAAACATTTTAAAGAAAAAAAATCTACATTTACTTTTGCAAAATACAAAAAAAAAACATTTTTCTATTTTGCAGAAATAAATGTAGATTTTTTTTAAAAAAAATTCTTCCAATGTGACAAAAGTTTAGAGATTTAAAAATTAATTTCTAATTAATATTTAACTTGTTAACCCTAATAACATAGAAATCACAAAACAAATACTTTTTTCTGAAAATGTATAAATAGTCAACTTTAAAAAGTGTTAAACTGGTTTCAAGAGAAATTCCATTTTTGGAGCATTTCTAAAGAATGAAATCCCAAGGTTCGCGGCTTTGGAAAAAGGTAATATTGAGAGAAATGGTTAATGGTACACCTTTAATGTGAAGCTATTTGTTGCTATGATGTTTTATAACACTCAAGAATGCTAGTTAGTAATGATAATCATACCAAGCCAAAAGACCTCACAAACAGTTATGGCTTAGTACTACAAGTGATCCAGGCCTGACTTTGTGGGGCACTATATATGTACTTTAAAATCTAATTTTGAAAGTATGTGTCTATTCTCCTTAAAATTTCTGGGTTTCAAACCAACAGAATAGTTCCAGACATAGGGAGTTACTCCTATTTCCACAATGGAGAATTGAATGTGCTGGATTTGGGCACATTTTGGGTACTTAGTATGACAGGTATGTTGTGGGTAACTTGTTTTCTTGAGGCTTTGTATCACCTTTTTAACCATATTATTGAATGCATACTATAAAGCACTCAAGTGTCTTCTTATTGGAGCAGAAAAAAGTAAAAAATGAAATCAAATGAACTATATGCTGTCCAGGTGAAATGCAATTAATCCTGCTGTCTTACGGACACATATATATTACAAGTAGGAAAATAAGCTTTTTTCACAAAAAAATGGGGGAGGAGTTTCAAATGATTGCAGATTGCTGAAAACCAGTGGATGCCTGGGATGAGTTATTTGCATGCTACATATTAACCTTTTCTGTTTTGCCTAAATAGTTCTCTTTTCTTCCATTTCCTGTCCATTCTCTTTCCCTTGCCTCATCTCCATCAAGTTTTATCAGAATTTTTGTGTCACTTTCTCTCCCTTAAACAGCTACCTATAACCTTTATCCCATCCCAACCCAGTCCAGTCCTTTTGTTTTCTTTTGCTTTATTGTTGTTGTTGTTTTGGACCTGATAGAAGGATGAAAGAATATGTGTGTCCTTGTGTATGTGTGTGTATGTGTGTGTGTGTGTCTGTGTCTCTGTGTGTGTCTGTCTGTGTGGGTGGCACACATTTTTATTCTTCCTACTGATCAGAATGGGCTGCAAAAGAAAAAAATGGTTGGAATATTCATATGAAAGATTCATTCATTTTATAAATGGAGTATCTTATTTTACAGGCAATTTATTTTATTCAGTAGGTATTAAATTCAGTCAATATTATTTTTTTCCTGCCGTGCCATTTTCTGGAGTGTGGGTCCAGCAATGCACCTATGTAGATGATTATTAGAGAAGAAAATACCTCCAGGCCTGGGTTAAAGACTTAAATAGTCATTGTGACATATTGGGATTAACGGAACCACATAGAATGTTTGTCTGTATTTAGAAAAAAAATTCTTCTGACTATTTTTCATTTCTGGAGAATGGATGGTCACATTTTTCTTTCTCATAAATAGAATATATACAAACTGTGAAGATATATATGGTATATAGTTATACAAAGATATGTGTGTGAAAGAGAAAAAAAGATGATTAGCATAGCCATAACACATTTTCCAGCCTTTTCTTTTAATTGTACCTTCAAAAAAATCTTAATAGAAAAAGGCAATCCTGATTGCATTATACATTGCATAAAGTGTTCATAAGCTTACAAAAATTAAAGTAGGAACAAATTAAAATGTCTTAATAATGTTCCCTAAATGCAATTTATCCTTTCTCCTCTTTTTAGCAATCTCACCCAAAAAGTATAACAACTTTAAAATACCAGCTTTAAAACTCAATACAAACCATTCACAGTTCACACCCCAATAAACTGCTCTCCATTCTAGAGTGGTTACACTTGGCAATTCAACTTGAATCTGTTACTTTCCAGCCATTTCCAACAACACTGGAGCTATTTGTTTTGGCTGGAATCAGAAATTTAACATTATTCATACTTTTCAGTCTAGCATACAACCGGACTGGCTTCTTCCCAGCCTACAACAAACGTTTTTTTCTTTACTGGCCTTTTCAACCAAGTTAAACCTTATACAAGAATAGATATATATTTCTGAAATGTATATTAAAAATTGACAAGAAAACAAAAAAACAGAGATATATTTTCAGAAATTTAAGATACAAAATATTTGATTTTTTTTGCCAGGCAAGGCAGCATGATTAATAGATGATTTTAGGAATGTAAGTCACCAGTATCCAACTGATATTCTTTGATTTCCAAATTTTATTTGGCAATATCCCATTCAATTATATTTAATAAAATGTGTTAATTTTGCAATTGTGGCTTAATATTAAGTCAAACTTCAAGAAGATATTTCTCTGTGACAGTAAAAACGGGGCATCTAAGTCTAACCCATGTGCAAATGACACTGAATGGTGTTCAAAGGAGTTGTGTTAGACCTTTAGTAGGATATAAGTAACTGCATTCTCCAAAGAAGAGATCAGGACAAGTCAAAAATAATCAAGCAGTTAGGGCTCCACCTTTCTGTACTTGTCCAAGTCAATATGCAAGCAAAACAGGTGAGCTTCAATCACATTCCACAACAGCCTCTCTTCCTGGATCCCATTAGATTGCTTTCATTGACATGGCTCATAATTAGCATTAGCATTTAAACTTATATACTGCTTCACAGTGCTTTACAGCCCTCTCTAAGCAGTTTACAGAGTCAGCATATTGACCCCAACAATCTGAGTCCTCATAATGTGCTTCTTCTGCAATATCTAATGAGATGGGTAGAAATGATCAGGGAGAAGCAGTCCTCCAGACAACAACCTTGAGCCTGTAAAATTTGAACTGCCAAAGTGCAGGCAGGCAGCAGGCAGCAGAAGTAATCTGCAGTACTGCATTCTAACTGCGCCACCTCGGCTCGTGGTCATAAGTCACTGTTTTCCGTGACGTTGTAACTGCAAACAGTCACTAAGCAGAAGTTGTAAGTTGAGGGCTACCTGCACAACTCCCAACTTTCCTTGCTTTCAGAAAACAATTAAATTGTTATTATTGCAGTGACCTTTTGCCTTTAATTTTGTTTGGGCAACTGCTTTATACTTTGGTATAAAATACCAGCATCACTAGTAACTTGAACTTCAGATCATTGACCATGCAAAGTGGCGTTCAATGAACTGAAAAGCGGACCCTGCATCTGCGGGAATATGCTAGGAAGAAGAAGATCACTAGCAACTTGAACTGCATTTAGAAGCATACCAATTCAGCCTATGGAGCAAAAGTGTAATGTGCATACATTAAAGGAGATTCATGTGCCACATTTTCTGAATCATCTCCAGCTTCTGGATGCTCTTAAAGGACAATTTCACGTAAAGCGCATTCCAGTAATGCTCAAGAGATTGTTAAACCATCAGTAACTGTAAAAAGAATTTTTCATTCCAAGTAAGGGCACAACACAAAATTACACAAAAGCACTTCTAGGCGCACAGCCATCTAATCCTCAAACGGGAACTACAGGTTCAGGAGGACCCTCAAATAGTCCTACTTAATGAGTCCTAGTTTTTTCAGCAACCATTATATTAGGGAAGACCAAAGAAAAAGCGAACAGGTCAACTTCTTAGCCCATAAGCTCAATTATATTTTTTTATCATATGTCTACACAAATATATCATAAATATCTCCTGATTTCTCAGGCTGAGGAAAATGTTACACCTGCAGTTTTAAAGCTCCTACCTCCACCTGGATGAGCTGAGTAATTTTCTCCCAGTACTACCCGAATGCCCGCTTCTTCCAACAAAATCTTCCATTTTTCAATTATATTAATAGAATTATCCTGGTAAGAAAAAGCACCAAAAGGTTAATCTTTAAAAATTAAATGTTAACTGGAACTGGCATTCAAATTATAGTAGTAAAGTAAAAGAAAAAATAGATTATGAATGTACATACCGTGCTAGAATCATTAAAAATAGACAGTTCAATAGAACCTTGGAAATCTTGATCCAGAATCGACTTCAGACATTCATCCAGCCAAGACTCAGCATTATAGACTGGCAGAATCACAGACTATCATGAATAAAAATAAATAAATAAATAACACATTAACTGATATGCTGCATTATCATTCTTCAAGTCCGATTTCAACAAATACAACATTTTTATTATGTATGCTACAGAGCAATGATTTCTGAGCCGAAAAAAGTATTATCCTTTTCCTCACAAATGATTCCTTTTTCCTTGTTAAAACTCGTGCAAACACAATTAATATCTCATCAACACAAGGGAGTGTTGATGTCTCTCTTTTGTTCTGGTCCCTTCTTTCTTTCCAAAGCTATCTTGGTTCCTCACTATTTCAAATTATTATCAGAATTGATTTGGGCTCATCTGAGAACAACAAAGAGTAGTTCTTTCTGAATATAATGCTATCTATAGATGCAGATTTCAAATGAACTCCTATATTCATATATGTACTGTATATATTTTCTAAATTTATATCCCAGATTTCATTCAACTGTTGAAGACAGTGATTCTTTTTCAAAAGTTACTTTGGTAACTTTTATTTTAATATCCCCAATCTGCATCAAACAAAATCAGAAATTGTTCTGTAAAAGGTATTAACAATATGTGATTATAAACTAATTCCAAACTTCATAATTCCAATTACAACTACATCAGCAACTATTCTTTTTCAGAATCAAATTTGAGCTACATTATATTTATTTCAGTATTCTTACATAAAGTACTAACAAACTTGGAGAAAATGCAATATGAAAATGCATATCTTAAGAGATAACAATGTATCTTATAAGAAAAACAACAGATTGTATAAGGAGCCAATTAATCTGCACCCCAAACTGCCATGGTGTGCACACTTTCCCCCTCTACCAAGTGTGATGAATTCTTTTGTTGCACTGAACTTGGATCTCAGAACAGGAGATTATTCTTATAATTGCTCTGGGTTTTAGAGGCATTCGCCATCCACAATTTAGCATAAAACAGACAAGCTGCATCATCCTTATAGACTGAGCTGGAAGGGGGTCACAGGGATGGCCTTTGACCTCATGCTGTGCTTTCAAGATGTTTCAAGGACCTTTAAAGCTAAGCCGCATCAAAAGCGAAGGCTCTACTCTGCCAACATGTCAAAATAACCACAGGGTCACAGCAGGCAAGCATTTTGGCAGGTTACCAAGGCCTCTCAGGAAATTTAGAGAAAATTAAGAGCAACCTCCCTAAACTAGTATCCTCCAGATCTCTTACTACAGCTCCCACCACCAACAGTAAGCTTAGTCAACTTAAAAGAGTTTGGAATCATAAGCCTACACATTTTAAAAACAACCAAACGAAATTTTTTAGAAAAATGTATTATTTTAATACATTTAAGTATTAAACTAATACTCCTATTACTACATGGACATATACATACTATTTTCTTAGCAAACATATGACACCAGTTTCAGAATACTCCTTCCTATCTCACCTGGTTTATTTTTTTTAGTTCAATCACCATTTAGGTGCTTCCTAAAGGTGGAATAATTAGGTGTATAATAATTAGTTCCTAATCAGTTTTTAAAAGTAATTTCAATTTTCTGCTTATTAAGACTTTTCACTTTATTTCCTCTGAAAGTGGAAGCACCTAAATGGTGATTGAACTAAAAAAAATAAACCAGGTGAGATAGGAAGGAGTATTCTGAAACTGGTGTCATGTTTGCTAAGAAAATAGTATGTATAGTGTAGTGGTTTGTGTAGTGGTTAAAGCATCAGGCTAGAAACCAAAAGTCCACGAGTTGTAGTACCACCTTAGGCACAAAGCCAGTTTGGTGACCTTGGGCTTGTCACTTTCTCTCAGTCTTAGGAAGGAGTCAACAACAAATCACTTCTGAAAAAACTTGCCATGAAAACTGTATGGAATCTCTGAGAATTGAACATGACTGAATAGTAGAAAATAAAATTATATAAATATGCATGTGATAAAACTACAGCTGCTATATTATACAATATTGTAAAAGAATAAGAGCAAATATTAAACACACTGTTCTCTTATTTCAAAATATACAGTTCTGGGGTATTTTGATTCTTAAAGTACACAAAATGTAACCCATTGATGTCAGTGTATTGCAAACACACATTTATAACCAATACTTAGATATGTTCTTCTACACATCTTAATACCCTAGCATACTTAAAAGAAATGACTAATTGATGAATGCAACCACTTTGCACCCTTGATTACCATGTCAGTAGCAAGGTCCTTCAGTTAAGTATGCACCTTTTTCATGATCAATGATAGTTCATGATGCTACATATATCTGAAATCTTGTATTTTGATATTTCTGCACAAAACCAGCCAAGCCACAGTAAATTTGGAAGATATATGGAACATACCACTTGAATCCTACACTTTCCTCCTGCCTTCCTGTTGAAAGGAGCAACAGATTGCAATTCAGTGTTGCCAAAGAAAGGAGATGATGGACTGTGTGAATGGTCTTGCTTGACAAGTCCAGGATCATTTGCACAGACACCGTCTGGTAAAAGGGGAGGCAATTTACCAGCTTCCTGGCAGACTGTTTTAGAGACATCCATTTGCAATTATAAATTCAAAAAAAAAAAAAATAAACCAAGCCTGGACAGGTATGCAAAAAAACAGAATGTAACCCCTCACAAGTAAGGATTATCATTCCGCTGGTGATTATTTTTCCCTCCCTCTCTCTCAACTCCTGCTATAATTTCGGATTATATAGCTGCATGATAATATATATCCTGATGAAAAAAGACGCCCTTAGAAAATACAAGTGAAGCTCCGAGGAGAGGGTGAAGGAAATGCAGTTGCCAACCGAGAAATTTAAGTCATAGGGCTTCACCAAATGCTGTACACAGGTAGTAAAAGAAAGGGGGTCACAGAAAGAGGAAGTAGCCACCCAGCAGGAAACAGGGAGCGGATAGAAAAAAGGTCGGCGAGTGCAATGGTTTCGGCTGGTCTTTCCTTCCTGTGCACGTCTTTCGCTCTTTGGAGCTCTCCGATTTCCCCCCACCCCACCCCCTCTTTTGCGGGGGTCAGAACTGAGCAGGCACGCGCCCTTCCACCCGCTTTCGCGGAAGAGTAGAGACAGCAAGGCTAGAGCGGCAACAGGGCGGGGCCAAAGGCGGGCGTGTTTTTCCTTCGCCGCTCCGAAGGCAGCAAGCGGGCTTTCAGAATCTGGGGAGGTGGGGTTGCGGGGCGGGGATTGCTAGAGTGCTTCTTAAATGTGTTCCCTTTGCTCTCGCTATTACTTATTCCCCGTAAAAATCGTTTCAACAGCAAAGCCCTTTGCACATGTTTAGAGGCAGAGTGCCAATCATCATCTTGCCAAAGACGGCAGCGTCGAGCGCTGCGCCTTCATGCAGACGCAGTTTTGCCGAGAATATATGCATGGTTGCAAGGCGCTATTGTACCAAGAAAACTCCAACATGTAGCACATTGAGTGACCTGTTTAAAATCTAATTCTAACTCTCAGCTTACGGCGTACTGAAATACAGATCAAGGTTTTTGACCATGATACAATAAACCAAACAATTGTCTCGTTCTCCTATTCGGCATCCTTTAAAAACTTCCCTTCCTCACTCAGACGGATCCGCATTTCTATGGAACCACCATCCATCCACCAATGTGTTTTTCTTCTAGTGAATCCATCAATTAAAACCCTTTTACCCAACCATATGTCCTCCAGATGTATTGGATTGTATTAATATTTGAAGCGGTTTTTATTTTCAATCTCAAAGCTTATATTTGTGTCTATAAATGTTGATGTGGGTAAGCCCCATTTCTTGTTTGCATTCATTGTTGCAAATGATTACTGTCTTGTCTTTTCCTAGCTATTTATGTTACTTACAATTTCATTACAGCGTCTTATTTTGTTCGTAATTGCTAGCCACCAAGAGTTATGTACCTGGGCGACCATACTACGGTAATAAGCAAAATATTGTTTTAATCAATACGTATTGAAATTTAGGTATATTTTATTAATGAATAGAGTAAGTTTATTTTAAAACTGATTCATATGCATATAGTGTTGTGGGGGAGTGTTATGGCTTTAACCTTATCTGCCTGATTTCCCACTTTTTTGTTGAATGTTTTGTTGACTGAATAAGCCGTTGTAATGTGTGTGGCCATGCGCAAGGAAGTTTTGACACTATCAGAAACAAATCCTGACATTTCTTGTTATGACCTTTTGCTTTCAGTATTGGCCTCTGTATGAAGTTTCTGGAGTTTTAGATATTAGTCATAACTCTTGTTATCTCCAGGAGAAAATCTTCTTCAGAGTCACTTTTTCCCCTTCCTCTCTGAAGTTGCCTAATTCATGTGCAATGATTGTGTTCACTGTAAAAATGTGAACAACCATAAACTAGCTATTTGAATATGCAGTAACTTTAAAATGATTTCTCTGAAACCAGTCCCCACCCAAGGTCATGCTCCATAACAACTTGCTTATGAAAGTACACAGTTGAGCTTATGGTTGTATAAAATGAAATTTTGGAATTGACTAATACAAAATGTGCTGGCTTCCAGCTTAGTTGACTTGAAAAAAAGAGTTTGAACCAAATCATGAGGGCAGTGACCATGAGCCACAACAGTGTGATTGTCTCTAAAGTTTATCTGCTGGGAGAATAGTGGGCTTCTTTCTGCAGTTGGTTGGCCATTGGGAAAATAAACTGGAGAGCAGACTAGATGGGCCAATTCTCCCATCTAGAGATCCCAATTCCACAGGGGTCTGCTTGTATTTTGTTTTAAATGTAACTCTTCTATATACATATATGTCTATATTTGGAAGAATTTCAATTTGAAGTTTGTTCCTATTGGGTTTCAGATATGTACATGCATAACGATCTTCATTTGATACTTATTTCAGGAGAAAGGTTCCCTACTTATCTGTACATTATTTCTAAAGTAGATCCCAGAGTTAACTCTTCCATTAAGGAAAAGAGTGCACACATATACCACTCCCTATATGTTCATTTTTCCCTTTATATTTTCTTGGATTTTTTTTTTCAAATTGTATTTTAAATGTTACAGATCAAGCATTTTGTCAGATTTATTAAGCCAGCAGAGATTATATGGAAGACATGGGTTTATTAACTGAATAAAGGGATACAAGAAAAAAATCAATGTGCTTTTTGGTTATTCTACATCTCTGGAATTTTAAATGTGCTAAACATTGTTTCAGGTTTTTACATTTGTTCTTTTGTTCCAGTATTTATCCTAGTCACCACATAAAACTTGTCAACAAGGAGGTAAATTGTAGTGAATTTGAGTGCTTCCATCAAGAAAGTGTTATGCAAAAGTATCACAGAAGTAGTATCCAGAAGTTATTACTTCTGAAGGATTGAGTTATCGTAAACAGGGCTGCTGGACAACTGCTGGTACAGTAATAGAGAAGTTAGAACACTTCTTAATCCTGATTACCATAATGTAAGATTAAATATGAGCTTTTACTTTAATACTGGCAGTTCCTAGATTTCTTCTTTAAAGTTATTTAATTCTTTTTTTAAAAAAAAATTATTTTAACAACAAAACAACAAACATAGACATACCACGTAAAACATAAAAATATCATCCTTCTTCATAAATTTACAAACAGTGCATCGATAAGAATTAAATAAATAAAAGTTATTTAATTCTTATTCTCTAAAGTTTTTCTAATTCTAACTTTCTTCAAACAATTGTATCCTTGAACTACTGTCTATAAGTCTTTCAGTATCAGCCAGAAGAAGAGTGACAGGTGATGCAGAAAGAAGTGAAAAACAATGTCACCTATTCTTGGATTTATTTTTACTCCCCACTTGCTTCAATTATGTCCACTATTGGCATGCAGCCTTTAATAGACTACTTTTGAGAGAATATGAGGTTTGATGGGGAGGGGGGAAGACTTCTTACCCCAATTTACATGAAGTTGCTAACCATATTATTTTGCTACATTTGCTTGACTGTACAAATTTGTTATCACGTGCATGACATTGCTACGCTAAAAAATGCAATAGGATAGTATTTTCATTAAACATTTTTTTTAATGTAAGCCCTATTGAATTTATTGGATTATATTTCTAAACAAATATGGACTGTAGTTACATAAGCTAAAATATAAAGGTACATTATAACGAATGTCTTTATATATTCATAAATAATGAACAGAATGCACTGAAGGCAACTGCTTAGGTGCATGATTGAACTATTATTTCAGTTCTGCAATGAAATGAAATAAAGCTGTAATAGAATAAATAAGAAAATTCTTTTCTCTTTATGGGCATGTGGCTTCTTTGATCTTTACATCATATAAAGCCATTTATTAAACACTAGAAAGTACTTGTAATTTAATGTGCCTTCTAAATATCAATATCATAAGATCTTAGTAAGACTGTTCATAGATTCTGTCTCTAGTTGAGAAAAAAACCATTGACTTCAATTGGCCAGCCATATATAAATGAATTCAGTATTACAGTGTTTGAATTTTGCTTTCCACACTATATTTGAGAAGTTAAACATTCTGTTCTATAAGTACAGGAAACATCTGACAACTTAAAATGGGAAAGTGCTTATAGAAATAAATCATAATCTGACAAAGGAATGTACACACAACTGGAAAAAATCCATACCAGACGTCATGCAAGATAAATTGCACATGCAGTGTTATATGCTATTCCAGAAGAAAAGAAGATATGTTATAAAGAGAGTTCAAAGAATAAGACCCACAAATAGATATTCTCACTGGGCTTGACATTAATGTACGCCACAAGGACTGGAAAATCAGTAGTCACATTGACTCTAACTCTGTCTAAGAGGAAATAAATTATTGGCTGGCTTGTTTAAAATATAGCTGATTTCTACCCTGGTAATAAATAAAAAGATGCTTGTTCTTATGCGTATTATATTATGCATAATTATGTTCTTAATTTTATCTCTTCATAAGGTTAAGATAGCCTACATTCTAAAAATCAAAGGTCATTTTTTGGGGGGGGCTTCTGTGTAGAAATCAACTTCTGTTGCAGCCAAAAATCACTTTCTGTGCAATAAAATATTTTAAACATAAAATAATTCTGCATGATTTTTTTTAATGTACTAATATTTATCTAAAGAACATAGGTGTTCTGCTGGTTTACACCTAGTATAGCTCAATGCATCAATCAAATAGAACAAGAAGTCAATAGCATATCCAGAGTCATCTTTTTGAGCAATTGATATTGAGAGACACATTTTATTTATTTATATATTACCTTTGACTCTACTTATTAGCCAAAATCAGAAATTAAAACTATTATCTAATCACAACTCTACTATAATTTAAGCAACATTATTCTTCCAACTTCAAACAAATCCTGAGAAAAGTGTCATTTTAAATTTCAGGACATCAGATTCTAGATGTAATATGTAAGGTGTTCAATACCAAATAAGTTGTGAATGAAAGAGGGTCTTGAAACTTAAAGGAGCCATTCTAATCTATGGAAAAACTAACTGATGCTGATTGAACAGTCAATAGTGAAACTGAAAATACAGGAACATGAAGTGCAATCACATACAAATAGATGCTTCTCTGTTCAGTGCCAAGACAACAAACACCAGCAATTAAAAAGTGATACATCTCTAGGAGACCCACCCAATGTAAAGACTGATAAAAGGCAGACATAGCAATAGTTTGAGAGAGATGGCATGATCCACAAATTCTGAACCTTCACCAAAGATTGAAAAGTGACTGCAGGAAGATCTACCAAAACTCTGTTACAACAGTCCATGCAAAATACGAACCATGCACTAATTGCTTAGCTCTCTCAATAAGTAAATGATTGAATTCTCAGGATAATCAAGAACTTCATTACCATTAAACTGGCAAGAATCAGAAAAAGATTGAGGATGAACAATCAGAATGAAAAACAGTAAATTCAGTATTGTATAGATTTAATTTAAAGTGATAAGAACAAACCAACTAAAGGCCTCATCAAAACAATCAGAAAAGGAAGCATGCACCACATCATCCAAAACAGACACAGAAGAATACAGCTGGATAATGTCAGCTTATTCCTAACTAGGTGGATCACATATGAACAAGCAAGAATGTAAGTTATCA